CGTTGTATTAATGTGAGAATTGTGATGTTATTAATACTGAGTGGCAACTTGATTGGATTGAAGGATACAAAGTATTGATCCTGGGCGTGTCTGTGAGGGTGTTGCCAAAGGAAATTAACATTTGACCTTGGGCTGGGAAAGGCAGACACACCCTTAATCTAGGTGGGCACAATCTAATCAGCCGCCAGCCAGCCTAGAATATAAGCAGGCAGAAAAATGTGAAAAGAAAGAGCGGCCTAGCCAGCCTACCTCCTCTCTGGATGCTTCCTGCCCTCAAACATCAGACTCCACGTTCTTCAGTTTTGGATCTCACACTGACTCTCCTTGCTCCTCAGCCTGCAGACAGCCTATTGTGGGACCTTGTGATTGTGTGAGTTAATACTTTATTATATATATATATGTATATATATCTCCCATTAGTTCTGTCCCTCTGGAGAACTGTAAGACAGGAACCCAGGCACTGGAAATCCAGTCTGGCTTTCTCACAGCAACCAAAATAAAAAGATTCTGCAGATCCTCTGAGCTAAGTCTGGCAAAACAACAGCAACACAAGCTGACCTCCAAACCTTTATTGACTTGCTAATTGCAATTCTTAATTTAAGCTTTGCCTCTATGTCCATCTCTTTTGAAGCTGTTGTATTTCCTGGAAACTTTTTTTTTAGACTCAGGCTCATTATGACTAAATACAAGAAAAAATAAATAAATTGCACACAATAACTTGGTGGCCATTGCAGCATTCTATGTTTATAATTGGGCTTTCTACCTGAGCTGAACTGCTTTCCCACCATCTTTTAAATAGGCTTTATTTTATTTTGAGACGAGTTCTGGTTCTGTCTCCCAGGCTGGAGTGTAGTAGCTTGCTTATTGATAACTTAAGTTCCTGGGCTCAGATGGCTGGGCAAGGTGGCACATGCCTGCAATCCCAGCACTTTAGGAGGCCGAGGCAGGCAGATCACGAGGTCAGGAGTTTGAGACCAGCCTAGCCAACATGGTGAAACCCAGTCTCTACCAAAAATACAGATACAAACACAGATTAGATGGGCTTGGTGGCACGCACCTGTAATCCCAGCTACTCGGGAGGCTGAGGCCGGAGAATCACTTGAACCCAGGAGGCGGAGGTTGCGGTGAGCCAAGATCATGCCATTGCATTCCAGCCTGGGCAACAAGAGTGAAATTACGCCTCAGGAAAAAAAAAAAAAAATCCTGGGCTCGAGTGATCCTCTTACCTCAGCCTTCCAAGAAGCTGAGACTATAGGCATGAGCCACTATACCTGCTAATTTTTAAATTTGTTGCAGAGACAGGGGCTCACATGTTGCCCAGGCTGGTCTGGAACTCAGATGATCCTGCTGCCGTAGCCTTCCAAAGTGCTGGGATTACAGGCATGAGCCACCACGCCTGGCTGCTTTATGTTCTTAAATTTGTTTTAGCTCCACAGAAAAATTGAGCAGAAAGTAAAGTGTTCCCATAATCCCCTGTCCCCCACTCACTCAGCCTTCCCCACTATCAATGCCAAATTCTTTTAAAATGAGATATTTCTTGTCTTCTTGAAACTCCTAAAATATTAAAATATTGAATTGTCAAATAAAGATTGTATATATTCAAAGTGCAGGATGTGATGATTGGTATATGTATATATTGTGTAATAATCACCACAATCAAATGAACACATCCATCCCCACCCATGCTTTACGTTAGATTCCTAGAACCTATTTAACTTATAACTGAGTGTTTGTACCCTTTGGCCGACATTTCCCATCTCCCCCACCCCCTAATCCCTGGTAATCATTCTTCAACTCTCTGCTTCTATAAGTTAAACTTTCTTAGATTCTGTAAGTGAGATCACATAGCATTTGTCTTTCTGCGTCTGGTTTATTTCACGAGACATAATTTCTCGAGGTCCCATCCATGTTGTCAGAAATGCAGAATTTCCTTCTTTTGTATGGCTGAATTATCTTCCATTGTTTATATGAACCACAGTTTCTTTCTCCATTTATCCGTTGATCAAGACTTAGGTTGAGTCCATATCTTGGCTACTGTGAATAGTGCCGCAAAGAACATGAGCATGCAGATATCTCTTCAACTGATTTCATTTTCTTCAGTTATATAACCAGAGGTGGAACTGCTGGATCATGTCTTAGTTTTATTTTTAATGTTTTGAGTAACCTTTATATTATTTTCTGGTAATGGCTGGACCAATTTACATTCCCACCAATAGTGTACAGGTGCTTTCTTTTCTCCATACCCTTACCAACACTTATCCCTTGTCTTTTTTTGGAAATAACCACCCTAACAAATGTGAGATTATATTTCATTGTGGTTTTGATTTGCATGTTTCCAATGATTAGTTATGTTGAGTACTTTTTACATATCCATTGACTGTAAGTCTTCTCTGGAAAATGTCCATTCAGGATCTCTGTACATTTTTTAATCGGATTATTTATTTATTCATTTATTTGCTATTGAGTTGTGTGAGTTCTTTATATTTTTTGGATATTGATCCCTTATTGGAGATTTTCAAATATTTTCTCCCATTCCATTGTCAGCTGCCTCTTCCTTTTTTTGATTGTTGTGCAGAAGCTTTTTACTTTGATGTAGCCCCGCGTGTTTATTTTTGCTTTTGTTGCTTGTGCTCTTGGTGTCACAGCCAAAAAATAAGACCGATATGAAGAGCTTTTTGGCTATATTTTCTGTTAGGAATTTTATGGTTTTGGATCTTATATGTAATTCTTTAATTCATTTCAAGATAATTTTTGAATATGTTATAAAAACAAGAATCAATTTGTATTATTTTGCTTGTAGATATTTAGTTTTCCCAACACTAAATTTCCCAATTTATTGAAGAAAATTTCCTTTCCCCATTGCACGTTCTTGGTGCTTTTGTCAAAAATTAGCTGACTGTATTTGCATGGGTTTATTTATGGGCTTATTACTCTGTTCCATTGGTCTAGTCTTTATTTTTATGCAGGTACCATACTACTTTTACTATTATAGCTTTGTAACATAGTTTGAAATCAGCAAATGTCTCCAACTTTGTTCTTTCTCAAAATTGTTTTGGCTTTTCTGGGTCGTTTATGGTTCCATGTGAATTTTAGAATTGATTTTTCTATTTATGTAAAAAGTGTCATTGGAATTGTGATAAAAATTCCACTAAAAACCCTTATCCTTCCTTTATTATTTTAAAATAAAATTTAAGCTTTTTCTTTTCTTTTCTTCTTCTTTCTTTCCTTCCTTTCTCTTTCTTTCTTCTTTTATTCTTTTTTTTTTTTTGAGACAGGGTGTCACTCTGTGGCCCAGGCTGGAGGGAGTACAGTGGTGCCATCATAGCTCATTGCAGCCTGCAGTTCCTCGATTCAAGCCATCTTCCCACCTCAGCCTTTCAAATAACTGGGACTACAAGTACATACAACCACATCTGGCTATTTATTTTATTTTTTATAGAGAACGGGTTTCACTATGTTGCCCAGGCTGGTCTCAAACTCCTGGCTTCAAGCGATCCTTCTGCCTTGGCCTCTCAAAGCGCTGGGATTACAGGCATGAGTCACCACGCCTGGCTCCTTACCCTTCTTATGAAGGCAGGCAGAAAGACCCATAGGACTTTATACACTGGGGCTAGTCATTAGCAGGGACTTTTATGAAGCAGAGAATGGAGGAAGGTTGATTTTCATCAAAAAAAATTGGAGCCCAAGAGAGAAGAAAATAACAGCCTTCTGTTTTAGTTAAAAAAAAAAAAAAAAGTAACCTAAAAGAAAAATTAAAGCTAAAAGTAAATTCTGGAGCCATGTTAACAACTGATATGATAACTTGCTGCAAATAGCCTTTGTAAAAGCCAGAGAAGTTAAAGAAAAGCACAGATAAAATAATAGCATTGGAATTTATTTCAACATATATGGCTTAAGGCTCTTGAGCTTTCCTTTAATAAGAATCAGGCCCACAGCTGCTTTTGTTAATGCCATAATTTTGTGGTGAACTCTTAATTTACTGGTTACCTGCTGTATGCAAGGCACTGTGGGATGCACACGTCAAAGAGGGTGCCCACGTTTCTTCGGCGACCAGCCACTGTGATCAGCACTCTGCTGGACATTTTCTTATTTAGTTCTTTTTTTTTTTGGGGGGCGGGGACAGAGTTTCACTCTTCTTGTCCAAGCTGGAGTGCAGTGGTGCGATCTCAGCTCACTGCAACCTCCACCTCTTGGGTTCAAGTGATTCTTCTGTCTCAGCCTCCTGAGTACCTGGGATTACAGATGCACACTACCATGCCCAGCTAGTTTTTGTATTTTTGGTAGAGACAAGGTTTCACCATGTTGGCCAGGTGATCTCAAACTCCTGGCCTCAAATGATCTGCCCGCCTCAGCCTCCCAAAGTGGCAGGATTACAGGTGTGAGCCACTGTGCCCAGCCAAATACTAAGTTAATTTTAATAAGCCCCCCAATACTGACATAACACCTAAACTTAGCAATTTACGGCCCAGTTAAGGTTTAGCTTTGTCTCGTTAAAAGAAAAACTCCAGCAGAATTAAATTTAAAGGAGTTTAATTGAGCAATGACCTTGCGAAGCTGGTAGCCCCCAGAATCACAACAGATTCAGATAGACCCCAGCACAGCCACGTGGTGGAAGAAGATTTATAGACAAAGGGAAGCAACATACCGAAATCGGAAGTGATGTTCAGAAACAACAGGACTGGGTATAGCTCCGTGTTTGCCTTATTTGAATACAGTTTGAACACTGGGCAGTGTGTGAGTGGTGGAAACACGGCTGCTGGGATTGGTCAAGACTCAGGGATTGTTGCAGGCACATACGTTTGATTTTCAATCTTGTCTACCTATTACATTAGGTTGCACTTCATCTACAAGGACTCACATAGAGAAGTACAAAGTCCTTCTCAGGTCGTATGTAGTTTGCTTTAACAGTCTAGTCTCTTAAGCATGCCTTGCATTGTGTGTTATTAATTTGCTTTAATTGTGTGGCCAAGGTGGCTGGTCATCGTGAGTCTGATGAGGAGGAGTTCTACCCATTTAACAGTTAGTGAGGCTCAGAAACTCATAAAGGTTTTTATTTTTATTTTTAACAGCTTGCCTAAAAATCATATGACTTTGACTTAGGCAGCATTTAAACCCAGATCTATTTGGCTCCAAAGCCTTCACCATGATCTAGGTCTGAGTATTTGTGGTCCCCCCAAAATTTTATGTTGGATCCTAATCCCCAGGGTGACAGTATTAGGCGGCGGGGTGTCTGGGAGGTGATTAGGGCTTAAGGCAGAGTCCTCATTAATGAGATTAGTGCCCTTATAAAAGAGGCCCCAGTGAGCTCCCTGAACCTTTTATTATGTGAGAACACAGCTTGAAGGTGCCTCCCTGAGCCTGAAGGTGACCCTCACCAGACACTGAATCTGCCCCACTTTGGTCTTGGACTTCTCAACCTCCAGAACTGTGAGAAATTTCTGTTATTTCAAAGGTACCTGGTTTGTGGTATTTGGTGACAGCAGCACAAGTGGACAAAGGCAGCCTTTCCTTATTTCAGCTCACTATGAGATCTCTTTAACAAAGAAGTAAATTTGTTAACATGTTTTCCTACATAGAATAATATGTTTTATATTTGTTCAAAGAAATGTGTAGTGGGCTTCATCTCCCTACCCCGCAGCCAACCCTGCTTCCCCCCCCGCTGTCAGTACTGCAAAGGATCTTCTGAGGTTCTGCTGTGTAACACAGCAGCCACGAGCCACATGTGGTCTATTGAACTCTGCAAATGTATCTAGCTGGCATTGAGATATGCTGTAAAAGCTTCCCAGGATTTCAAAACCTTGCTAAGAAAAAGAGAATGTAAAATATCTCATTCATAACGTTTTTATATTGATTATGTGTTGAAGTGATAATACTATGGCTTTTTGGGGCAAAGTAAAACATGAATTTCAGTTCATTACATCTGTTTCTTTTTACTTGTTTGATAGAATGACTAGAAAGTTTAAAATAATCCATGCTGTACACATTCTATTCCAAAGGGTAGCTCTTCTCTAAGGCACAGGCTGTACTTAGAGCTTCTCCTTTGTTGCTTTCTTGATAGATTAAGTTGCTATTATTGGGAGTTTAGGGAGGATTTTCGAGAAGGAGGGCTGACAGCTTCTCAGCAGGCCTGGTGTTAGAAGACCCTAATGCCAAGGACTTAACTAGGCTAATCTGCTTGAGCTGGAATTTAGTGGCCTCTGTCATTAATAGAGTTAAGCTCTTTAGTGAGCTTTGGCCTTTGAAAACACTACCTGTCTTTTTGGATTATATCTTAAGGAATGTAAGAAAGGTGGGGGTGCATAATAGTCAAAGCACAAAGTAAAACACATTCTGTTTTGTCAAAGGATGGCGCAAGTTCGATGTTTCTAAATTTCTCTTGAGTTTACCTGGATGGCAGGCCAAGAGCAATTTCATTGCTTGCCTTCATTTATAAAGGAAATGCCTATGACTGTGTGACTGCAGTCCTCTCTTTTTATACTACAGTTGAAAGGGATGGAAAAGTACATTTGCTTTGGAGAGGCTGAGAGACAGAAAGCAGCCCTGCAGGGAATATCATATTACCCCTTCCAGCTGGGAAAAAGACGGTTGGCCCAAGATGGGATTTCAGCCCTGTTGTTAAATAAGCAAACAATTTAATCGTGCCATAGAATAATAATAAAATAAAAGCAGATAGTTAAATCCAGGTCAACTCCCCGCCTTCAGCAGCTGTAACTACAGAGGCCCGGGGAGGCTGGGCCAGCTGAGGTCACTGCGCTTCACCGCAGGAGCAGCCTATATCTGTAGGCAGTAGGGTTGGGGCACAGTTTCACAGATAATCAGTTCAGGGCTCTCAAATTGCTGTGTACATTAGAATCACCGGGGGACTGTTAAAATCCCCATGCCCAAAACCAACCTCCAGACCAATGACATCATCAGTGGTTGGAAAGTTTCCCAGGTGGTTCCAAATTGCAGCCAAGTTTGAGAACCACAGATCTAGGTCACTCCCCTTGTTTCCACAGATACTGGGACCTAGAGAAGATGAGAGGATTTTCTCAAGTTCCTAGAACTAGCAAGTGTCTGAGCGGGGACAAACCTTTTCTCTTCTGACTCTCAACTTTGTCCTTTCCTTTCTCTGCTGTCTGAGTTCACAATTCTTGTTTTTTTGCTGTTGTTTTGTTTTGTTTTTTGAAACAGCTCTTGTCGCCCAGGCTGGAGCGAAATGGCACGATCTTGGCTCACTACAACCTCTACCTCCCGAGTTCAAGTGATTCTCCTGCTTCAGCCTCCCAAGTAGCTGGGATTACAGGCGCCTGCCACCACACCTAGCTAATTTTTGTATTTTTAGTAGAGATGGAGTTTCATTATGTTGGCCAGACTGGTCTCGAACTCCTGACCTCAGGAGAGCCACCTGCCTCGCCTCCCAAAGTGCTGGGATTACAGGTGTGAGCCACCGCGCCTGGCCTCAGTTCACTATTCTTACATGACCTCACTTTGCTTTCCTCAGGTATGTCCTTTCAGATCTTCGCAGAGCCATCTCTTTCTCATTTGCATCTCAGCTTCCACGCAACATTTCTTGAGAGAGGGTCCCCTGACCACGCATACCACCTACCACATCAGAGCACTGTTTTCCTTCTGGGCACTTCTCTCTATCCAACATCATCCCATATGCTGTCTGCCTTCCCCATTAGGCCACATCTTGTCTGCCAGGGTCATAGTTCTCTTGCCAGCTCCTGCCATTGTCCCTGGCCTGCTGTAGTGGTCGGTAAATCTTTGTGAAATAGATGAATGTTTAATGGATTGTCTTCTAAAAGTATCATTTCAAGGGACATACACTTCCTATGATGTAAGTTGGAGAAAATATTATTTCATATGGGGAAACGTATTTTCCAGCTTAACTCTTCCAAATCACATCTGTTCCATCATGTGAGGCTCATCTGGGTGGACAATTTGAATTTATACCAGTTGAAAAACTGCTAGGCTATTTAAAGGGATGACATTTTATCACGATCCAAAAATGGACTTTGATTAGACAGTGGAGCGTGATTGGAATAAGAAAGTGTCACGTGACTGAGTGGAAACATTTGTTGTCAATGAAGATCAAACTCTAATTGCTCTTCTTGAAGTTGGATGGATTAACAATGTGCCGATTAAAGAAAGCTTTCCAGGTGAATAACCCAGGCTGCAGGCTACACAATGATGGCCTTCGGTGTGTTTGTGGGCCCCCGTATTCATGAATTCTGTAAAATGGCATAAAGGGATCCTAGGAATACTCAGAGTCCACGCCAGTTCTCAAATGCAGTAATGGAAAGCTGCAATAAACATGACCCCATCCCATTGAAATCAGCACTTACAGTATGTGGGGTTTAGAGCCTGGTTACTCAAAAGTGTTCTTCCTAGACCAGCAGCATCAGCATCACCTTGAAGCTTTTAACACAGACAAAGTCTCTGGGTCCATGCTCCTGGCCCACTGAGCAGGAGCCTGCACTTTAGCAAGATCCCCAGGGAATTCAGATGCACAGACATTTGAGAAGAACCCATCTGGATTTAGACTCTGCATCTCTAAATGAGCCGTTCTCAGTTGAAGGCGGGGTACGATTTTGTCCTCAGGTGACATTTGGTGATGACTGGAGACATTTGGTGATGACTGGAGACATTTGATCATCACAACTGGGAATGAGCATGAAGAGGGTGGGGGGTGGATGCTACTGGCATCTAGTAGGTAGAGGCCGGTGATGTTGCTCAATACCTTGCAATGTACAAGATAGTCCCCCACCATAAACGAATTACCCAGCATGAAAAGTTGGTCCTACTGAGGCTGAGAACCCCTGCTCTAGACCAATAGACTCTGTTGTTCTAAATACTAACATTATGGGCAAAGTCCAGTGGCACAAGTCTGTAATCCCAGAACTTTGGGAGGCCAAAGTAGGAGGATCACTTGAGGCCAGGAATTTGAGGCAAGCCTGGGCAACATAGAAAGACCCCATCTCTACAAAAATTGGAAAAATCAGCTAGGTGTGGTGGCACACACCTGTAGCCTGACTACTTGAGAGCCTGTCATGAGAGGATGACTTGAGCCCAGTAGTTCGAGGCTGCAGTGAGCCAAGATCACTCCATTGTGCTCTAGCCTTGGCAGCAGAGTGAAAGAGCCTGTCTCTGTTAAGCAAATTATAGACTGTAAACATTGGCCAATGAGAACTAACTACAGTGTCCATACAACTGAAACTTGAAAGATGAAATAATTTGAAAATCAATAATAACTCATACACAGTTATAGCCATGCACTTAACTGATTAGTGGCAAAAAAGAAAGTCTATCATGAAAAGCTAAGGGTTTAGTAGCTGGGACTAAAGGCACGAGCCATCATACCCAGCTGCAAAGAATTTTTTTTAAATAAATGAAACCCACTGTCATTAACCTCACCTGCTCATCTCCTCCTGTCCTCTCTGCACCTTGCTCTGGTCACAACATTGCTTCCTGCTTCCTGTAACCCTCCACGCCTTTGCTCATTATTTCCTCTGCCTAGAATGTCCTTTCCCCTCTCCTTCATCTGGCATAGTTCTACCTCTCCTAGCCCCAAAATGTCATTGGCTGCTGCCCTTCTTAGCACTTCCCCTTTCCCTCCTGGCCTCATTCCTCCTCTCAGCCTCCAGCCTCTCTCACTATTGCACACACATTCCTGGGTGTCCCTGTCTGGTCGTACCTGCCCTTTGCTCAAAAGCCTTCTCTGGGGGAATTACTAGGGCTGAATCCCGCTCCAGAGAGTCTCCATCTGGGTGAGGCCTGGGCATTCGTATTTTCAAGCTCCTCAGCCAGGATTAAGAATCATTGTTCTTAGACAGAGGCCAATCTCCTCCACTCAGGGAACTCTGAGGCTGCCCTAACTGGAGTGTCTATTTCAGGATCATTTCTCACCCTCAGCATCTTGGCCTTCATAAAGTCACACCTTGTCCCACAGATGTGCCTCTCTTCATATGACTACTTCTCCCTGGAATGCCGGCCCCGCCTCCATCCCTTAGCAAGCTACTAGAAAGTCCTCCATGCCTTCACCCTAAGCGTCTCTCTTTTAACATATTTTCCTGACTAATCTCAGGCAGATGGAATGTCTTCTCTCATATCTGCATTCCCACAGGACTGTACCCACACCTCGCTTATGGTGCTGATGACAGGCTGCTGGTCATTTCCTCCTGTAAGACTGGGAGGTCTATGAGCATAGGAATTCATGACTTTTTCTCATGCATGCTTTTTGGTTTGCATTTTAATCCCTAACGCGTAGCACACTGCCTGGCTGGAACACAGATGTAGTCAATGTTTATTGAATGTTGAATTTGCTTCTGTAATTGATTTAGAGAATAAGATATACCCCTTGGTGAAGCCATTCTAGAGGGTGGCAGTTCAGCAATTGCTATGGCTTACGTTTTTTTTTTTTTTTAATTTGGTATTCTTTTTTTTATGCTTAATATCATTGACCGGGCACAGTGGCTCATGCCTGTGATCTTAGCACTTTGGAAAGCTGAGATTGGAGGATTGCTTCAGCCCAGGAGTTTGAGACTGGCCAATGTAGTAAGATCCTATCTCTACACATTTTTTTTTAATTAACCAGGCATGGTGACACATGCCTGTAGTCCCAGCTACTTGGGAGGCTGAGGCGAGAGGACTGCTTGAGTCTAGGAGTTTGAGATGGTCAACAGAGTGAGATCCATCTCTAAAAAAATTTTTTTTTTAATTAGCCAGGCATGGTGACACATGTCTGTAGTCTCAGCTACTTGGGAGGCTGAGGTGGGAGGGTTGCTTGAACCCAAGTGGTCGAGGCTGCAGTGGGCTATGACTGCACTCTAGCCTGGGTGACAGAGCTAGACTCTGTCTCAAAAAAAAAAAAAAAAATGCACTGTTCTTTGCTTTTGTGTGACTAAACAATTCTATTTTGATTGAAATCAAAAT